TTACTGGCCTACAATCTCTCGGTGGTTTTGAAAAATCTTTCTCGACTGGAAATGGTGTGAAACATTTCACCTCAAAATAGTAGTCGAAACAACAATTTTTAAAGCGAAATATACGCTATATAACCTTAGGCTGCGTTATGGGATACCTGTAAACTAGCAAACTAATTGACTAAGAACAACGAGAATCCGGACAAAGTTTAAAAAAAAATTGCCATTTAGCAATGTGTACTGATATGTCATGGTATTTCATGCTGTTCTTTTTTTTTTTTTTAAGGTAAAACAATTATTCCACTCGCATTTGTTGGATGCGATGACATCAGGAAATAAGGCTTTGCTTTGCAAACGCGCCGGTTGATCTGCAGCACTTTAAAACCTCTATTTCGATTCCTTCTTAGGGCTAGAGGCATTGCTTGAGTTGTCAATTTATTGTTTCGTTTGGCCAATTATAAGGAACTCTCTAAACGCTGCAGGTTGGCCGAAACGCGCTCTCGAGCTATACTTCTTAGTATTCTCCCTTATAAAACATCGCGAGTACAATAAGTCGATAGCTTTCGGTTTCAAATGTCCTTAGGTTTCAATCGACTTCGCAATTCCAAACTGGCGTTTGGACGTGAATCAGACAACAGAAACCTAGACTGTGCAGTTGTATTCGTGTTTTGTTTGTCATAGAGAAATCCGCAATCATCTTGACTGATCTTCTACGTGTAAAAGATAATTAAAAACCACTGATTTGTCCTGTAAACAAACAGAGTCTTTGCTCTTGGTTTCTATCGCGTTAGAGTCTATCGGTCCATCCAACAAGGCCTCGTCAAGATTGTACTGTACGAATTGTATCGCGCAAAACAAGAACTAAAAAAGCTACAACGAACACTACCTCATTGTTTACTCTGCTCCTTCTTATCCTCTAAGGCCCAAGTCAAACGTAGAACTTCACATGAGACGAACTGTAAATTGCAATTTGAGTCGATCCAAACGGGTAAAGCTTGACCGTTGGCTCAAACGCCGAACTTAATTCGAATTTAGATCGCCCAACAAGTTCTATCCGTCTGCTTCAGACGAATAAAACGTGTTGGTTGATCTAAATTCAGTCAGGCGAACTCAGATGAGTCAAACGTCGAACTTATCATGAACTTGATTCGCTCAGTTTAGCTCGTCTCATGCGAAGTTCGACGCTTGTTGACCTGGGCCTAAAACGACTATTTTTCAAAGCTGTTAGTAAACGTAACTCTAGTTATTCAGTTTTGTCCCCTTAAAACAACATTTTAGCTATTAAATTTTATAACCGACCTGATCTTCTTGCTGCGGTCAGGACACCTGATCGC